GCATTAGAACACAGAATTCAACTCGTGTTTTCATTTGCCAGCCCTTTAAAGTGAAGCAAAATCTCTCAGCAACACATGGGAGAATTTCCTACGATGCTCACTGACCCTTCCGTTTGTCTTCTCGGAGTGTTATATCCAAACGATAGCAGCTTGAAATCAGTGTTTCATGGCCCATGTTCCCTACTTTAAGTGGCTCTCAGGCCACCTCTCCACACATCAAAGAAACTCTGCTGGATTAAGCGACTCATTAGGTGACTGAGCCCTAAAAACAGCTCCTAATTTACTCACTTCCTGACTAAAAAGCTTCGCAGTTCCCCCGGGAAAAGGCAAAAAAGCAACACATCTACAGTACGAAAACAAGCTGGATGTTGTAAGAAGTTTTCACTTCCTCTCTTTCGGGCCCAGAGACAAACACAGTAATGAGACACATCTGTTTAGATCTTGTTTATCAGACTTTATGTTTGACAAAATTTTGACAGTTTTATATTTCTCCTGATTTTCCAACTACCCTTTGACCTGACATCAGACAAAACAGACAAACATGAGGAATTATTTCTTCTTTAAAAGCCTGACTTCACCCACTTCAATTCCATTCAGCCATGCTCTACCGACGCATTATAAAAGTTACAGCTGAGACACAACCAGTAGGTTTCCAGGTGAGGTGAAAAAATGATGTTGTACCCAAGGGGTCTTGACGTCTCAGGGCACTTTGTGTGTTGCCATGGGAGGTAATCAATCAAATCATCAAACGAGCCCCCAGAGGCTTAATGGACATTGGCCTTTGGAGTCTATGTTGCAGGAGGGCACTTGTACTTCATGTGATGAAAGACAAAGCGGAGTTAACGGCCAAAAATTTCAGATGACAGGACACTTCTTTAAAAGACCTTGCAGATAACTGAAGCAATGACATATCCGCTCACACATACTTGTTTGTGCTCGCGTCAACACTCACACAAGTGCACTCACAGTTACCGCTAACCACACACACACACCTCCACCCTCCTGTGGTGACATTTGAAGGACAAGGGGCCTGCAGGGAGAGCTGGTTTTGAGAGGTTAGATGAGGTGGAGGGCTGGCTGGCTCGCTGGTTGGGGGTGTGAGGTAAACAACACCTCGGAGTTCAGCGTGCATGCCTAATGTGCTCTCTCGCACTGGCGGCTCTGCTGGGCGAGGCTGCCTGATGACAAGCTGTCTGGAGAAGTCTCCTGCTCCTGCAGCATCTCGCTACCGCAGTCTCTCACACTGTTGGCTTTACTCTGTCCAGCTGTCCACGTCAACTCTGTACACTTTATGCCTTTGTGTCCCTGTCCTGTCTCTGGCTTTAAACTCTCCTGACTCAACTTTTTTCCGCCTGCTGTCACATCGGATACTTGTTCATTTAAATGTACATAACTGGTATAAAGATGAAGACCAAAGTGCAGCTTTTTTTTTTTTTTTTTTTTCAAAAATGTGATATTTGATCATTTTACTTGTGTGAAGGATGTATTGGAAGAATTTTTTTTTTTTGTCGCTCAGACACAATTTTTTGTGGTTTCATGGCAACAGTCAAAAAACACTGGGTCATTCCCTTTAACTTTGTACAATTTTATGAAATGCATACTAATGATATAATCATGGTCACTGGCAGCAATGCACACATGCAGATCAAAATACAAAGATATGTACAAATGTGAATTGTACACTCTTAAGGTGTGTTCAGACTGAACACAAAGCAAATTTCAGAGGCGGTGTGACTTGCATACAAATTCGAAGTGGACATAGGTTTGCTCAAGGCAGCGTGAACCGAAGCAAAAACGCGTCTGCACACGTAGAAAATGCTGAAACTTGGGAAAAAAAAAAAGAAAGGAAAAAAGTGTGCTTATCCCGAACTGTTGAACTTCCATTTTTAAAAAACATACAGAGACAAGGAGAGAAAAAAAATGCCTGAAAGGCAAATGATGGAAACAGCTTGAGCTTCTGGTCAGCTTTGTCAGTCTGAGTCAGAGCTGTAGCACACACGTACTGTACAAAGGCACGCTCTGCTCACACACACACAGTTGGGACATTGTTAGCTAGTTTCAGCTAACATCTGGTGCATTTGTAACGTATAAACACGGAGCGTAAAAACACTCCCGCGGTCAAATTTGTGCGAGTAAAGCAAGGTGAAAATTTGCTTCGCGTTCAGTCTGAGCACACCTTTACAGCTATCTTTAAAATTTTACTAGTGGTTTTTACCCCCCGACCTGAGTTCAATAATCTCATTTGTTCACGTCGTCCAATTGCAGCCCATCTCTCTACTGATTGGTCTCAGAGAGGGCAGAGGTGCTATCTGATTCGTTTGACGTTCAGACAAATAGAAGCAAAAACAGACGGTAACGAATACTGTTGTATTCTGAGGAGATAAAAATCACATTGACATCATTTACTCAGGTCATACACATAGAACATTTATTGCTGTGTAGTCAGGCTTTAACCTTTGATGCCATATTCACTGACACAAGGATTTGTCTCAGAAAGATAGGAGGAGATATCTTTGAAGCTAAAACAGCCCTTGGTTGCTTCGTGTTTTCCCTCTTCAACCTTTAACCTCACTGTATCCTCACTGACAAAACAGGACACTTCAGGAAAAGGCAAACACTTCACCTGAAGTCATAAACAAACACACACACACACGCACGCACACACTCGCTCATTAATACCCAACACCATGTGATAAAACATAGTCATCAAAGTGATTTTGCATGATAGAAAAGGTGAAACCCTCAGATTTTCTCACATCACCTATTTTTGAGAAATTAAAAAAAAAAGGAAGGTAATGATCAAAACACTAGGGGTACAACAGTCTACCTCTAGAAATCAGGCTTAAAGATGAACTTTCTTCTTTTTTGGATGGAGTAATAAATCAAGTGGCAGAAGCCAAAATAAGTTTGCATTAAAAGATGCAAAGTTTTGTTCATTGTTACAGTGTCAGCTTTTGATATCAAACTATGGTGTGTGGAAGGGTTGCTACAACATACTGTCTGTGTGAAGAGATGGGGAAGAGAAGATGAGTGCATCAGGGTGTCATTTCAAGGAAAAAAAAACAAACAAAAAAAAAACATACTTGTATTGCAATCCCAGAACCATGCTCAAGGAACACTAATGTGTCCATAATCGATATGTTGTGGTGTAACTCCCAAATTAAAGCTTTGATAAGAGATGGTTTACGCTAGTCATGGTTTTTTAGCATAGGAGGCTAAAAAGCAAACAAAGCTCCCTGTGTGCAGCCAGGAATGTCTGTGAGCTAAGAGCGATCCTCATGTGCGTGAATATGGCTGTTCCCATCTCTGGTTGTCCTCTGGGACTCCAACATCTGAGAAAAGTAAAAGAAAAAAAAATCCACAAGGAACCAGTGTTCCCAAAGAGAAATGTGCTGGAGGGAACAATCACTTCAGCGCAAAAAGTTTGTTTGAAATTTTTTGCTTCATTGTTTTATACACTGTCCACACCTTAAAAAATGTTATAAAACTGGAAGCCACTGGCAGACAAAAAGTCCTAGACAACAAGTCAAAGAGACCGGATGGGTTAAATTAAACAGGGACAAGGTAACGGCAACACTTGCACGTGCCTATTCTCTTTTCTACAAAAATAGTGGAATAGAAATCACATGGTTATCACCCAACATTGACATCTTGATACACTTCTGTATATAGATAAAAATCTTGGTTAAATGCAGTTCCATCATGCAGTCAAGGTCCCTCGCAACTGTTGTGGTTTCGTCCATTCCCCTTAAATCCTTACGCGAGGTGAGAGGAGGTGGCGTCAAAAGGAGTGTGCTTCAAGTCTCACTTTATTAAGCGGCTGTGAACCATGTTTTGGTGCACACAAGGCTGCCCCAAGCAAACGTTAGTGTTTCTTCTCGTGGGGGTTTTGTAAAGCTCCATCCGACCTTGCTCCTATTCATACTCATTCCTTCATGTTTGAGTGAGCGAGAGATGCCGGAGATGGAAAGAAAAATAACCAATTTCACGAATCACTCCATGCATGGCTATACCTCCGCAAATCTCTCAAATTTCTTTTCATCTTCCGCTGCCACTCAAGAGTAAGTTGACAGAGGCACGACGTTTTGATCAGTCGATACCTATCTCCTGTTTCAAAAATACAGAGGTATGGTGAAGTGATGAGAATGATTTAATTCATGCCTTGGATACCTGAGGCAGTGCTCTCACACACAAACACACACTATGAGCACACACTCTTGAACTCTCCTCCACCTCACATTTTACTCTGATCTCAGCAGAAGGTCCTGTGCCAGAGTGAGTAGGACCTGTTGTTTCCGTCTGCCAGAACAGATGGACATTAGATCCGCTTTCTGCTTTCCCAGCCAAACAAATGACCTGCCTTCTCCTTTCCCAGCCTTACTTCCGCCTTGATTTATTCCGCCATCTCTGAGCCTCCGCCCACTTACTTGCTGCACTGCCTCTGAGACATAAACGAATCAAAACAGTCTCTGTTGGCATGGATAGCTATTCAGTTTGGGTACTTCTATTTTTGCATTTTCAACCTCAGTCAACCCGAGTGACACGGAGAAAAAGGAAACTACAGTAGAGCAACAACAAGACTCTTTCTTGCGTCTTTGAGTTTAAGCTCTTTTGTCTCTGCTCCTATTGACTCCCTGATATGAATGGGCCTCTTGGTCTTCCAATGTGAGCAGAGCCTTTCACAGCCTCCACTACAGGTACAGCCCCTAAGAGGGTAAAAGGACCTATCTTCAGCTCTTGGGCCTTAACTCTGCGGGCCACTTCCTCACCAGCAGACCATAACCAAGACGACTCCCCTAGGTAGCACAAAATAGGACATGGGCTTGTCACAAATGTATAGAAAGGGGTTGAGGGGGCAAGATGAGGGTTTGGTTTTGGAAAACAGGACATCATGTGTCATTGAGCCTCTCTCTCACTGATGGGAGCAGAGAGAGTGAGAGGGACAGCAATGGGTTTAGATCCAAGGAATGGAGAGACAAAGGAAGAGCAAACAGTAGGTTTCATCTGTTTTTCCGACAAGGCCCTACTGTTGTTTGGCTTGAGCTCTTCCCTTTGAATCCTTGCTCTCCATCTCCTATTTCTCCTCTTCCGTCTCCTCTTCTCGTGTCAACTAAGACCCCTGTCCAGGGGTTGGCCAAGAAGCCCTGGGGGTCCATAAGCTCCAGGCCCAGAATCTCCCTGCGGCCCTCCTTGCCCCGGGACGACAGCAACATCCCCCCTTGGTCCAGGCTGCCTGTGCTGTTGCACTTCTTCACTGCTCCTCCCGGGTACACCAGGGAGCTGGGTGACAGCAGTGATGTCAACGACAAGCTGCTCAGTGTCTCTGACAAGTGTTCACTGTTGCCCGCTTGGCTGGAGCCACAACCGCCAATAGACGATCCAATGCCTATACCCAGGTCCTCATCTGAAGGGTCAATCGAGTCGTCGCGGGTGTAGCCTGGGCTGGTGCTACCTCGCCCGCTGCTCTGGCTCCGCTGGTGGCCCCTGGTGGCCTGGAGGGTTAGAGCCGATGAGGGGCTCGGCCTCGGTCTCAGGGTCTGCACCGGGGAGGAAAGGATAGTCCTGTCTTCAGGCATCGGGAGGGGGCACACAACTGGTAAAGGAGCTGTCGGCAATGGCAGCTCCAAGTTCTGTGGAGGAGAGATGCTGAAGCTCAGTCCTTCTTCCAGGGTGGTCTGGAGGCTGCCTTCAGAGCTGCCTGTAGCGAGGGACGAGTCACTGTGGGAGGGGAACTGAAGAGAGAAGGGAGAAAGAGGAGTGCAGAAAAAGAAGAGACGCACATGAATCCAACTCTTTTTCTCATTAGAACAAACATGTAACATGATGTACAGACCACACTGGCATTTAAACTGCATCTTCAAAGCTGCTTACAAAACAGATTTCATAATTCTTTCATATATTATCATCTTCAGGCCATTTCTTAAAATAAATAAATCTGCTATTTCTTCTTAAGCTTTAACATCAATCTAATTAATTATTTAAACAACTCAATAAAACCTCACAACCTATTTTAATGTGCTTTTCCTGTTCTCCTCCCCTCCCCTCTACCTGTGTACACAGCATCTTGCTATGGGCTCCTGGGGAGCGGAGCGAAGCCCAGGAGGCTGGGGAGGTCAGCCTGAGGCCCCTTGTCAACCTCAGGCTCCTGCTGCGGGGAGGCGCCGGGATGACTGCTGCTGCAGGGTGGAAGAACTCTGCAGGAAGATGGAAGAGAGGAGAAATGCCACTGGCTCCTCCTTCTCCTTCTTCTTTGTTTCTTTCCTTATTGCTGCTGCTGGACACACCACCTTGAGGAGGGAACAGACACTTTCCATTTCTATTCTGATGTCAATTCATGAGTTGTTTCCACTTTTCGAGTGAGAACTCCTCATTTGAGAACGATGTTTTTCCCCTCTCAACAATGTATATACAATAGCTCCATCTATATTTCCTATACACCTATAGACCTATACACATCCAGATGAATATTATTAATTAAGATTAATATTTTTTCTTCTATTCTTGTTTGAAAGTTGCTGCTCTTACTTAACAACACCACTGTATTTTGTGATTTTAGAGTCATTTTAGATTATACTGTGTATGTTCTACTCTTACAGTGTGACAAACAGCACAGCAACAAATCAAATCAGAATTGAACTTGCGTGCTAGTGCAAATACAACTTTAAATCATTTATGTGTTTCTTTGGAAATGAGCCTGGTAATATAGTGAATAGAACTTTTCTGGATATACTCACCAGGGCTGCAGTGCGTTGAGCACATATTTGTCTGGTGTGTTTGCATCTCCATCTCCTGTAGTGTGGTTTCCATCTCAACACCGGTGCAGAGGGCCCTGCAGGGCTGGCTCTGCACTACTGTATGAGTCTGGTGGCCTCCGACACCTCCAGCCTCCTCAGAGCTACGGGAATCACTGCTGCACCTTCCCTGGAAGAGAACAGACGATCTGACATTGAAGAGGAAGTATTTTCTGATAAATATACAGGATAGATGAATGTTTAAAAAAAAAAAAAAAAAGCAAATACACTAGAGGGGCACTCAGAGACTACAGACCTCCGCCAAGGCCAATGTCAAACAACAAACAACAAACAACATACACCAGACTTCACAGAAAAAAAGAAAAGATTGCATAGGAAATGATCCACATCTGCCCCAAAATTTAATGTGTTCTTTCCTGGCCCATGCTCGATCTCTCCACCAAGTTCGGTGCAAATTGGTTCAGTACTTTTTGCATAATCCTGCTGGAAAACCAACAAACAAACACAAACACGGGTGAAAACATAACCTCCTTGGTGGAGGTAATTGGACATGTAGGGGTTGGTTAAATATAAAAAACAACAAGACAAATTGTGTGTTGAAAATTGCTAGGGCTTGTTTATAATCATTAACATATCCTAAACTTAGCCTGAAACTCATTTCTTCTGCAAAGGGACAATTTGCGTTATATATTGTAAAGTGACAATTCCTGGTTCAGACCAAGCCTGATAGAAAATGAGCAGAGAAAAAAGCAGACCCTCGGGCATCCTGCAGATATCAAACATGGCCTCTAATTCACATCATCCCTCGGGTTTTCCATTCTAGTGCTAGTGGAGGGGTGAGAGCTGATTATGAGCTAAAAGAGCCTGTTATTGTCATGTTAATGTTATATATTGTAACAATAAATGTTTGGTTATAAATTTTTGTGTGTGTGTGTGTGTGATGGCTGCAACAGCTGGAAGCGGCAGGCAGGCGGCGGATTAAGGCAGGGGTTCAGCTTTGTAAGCGCTTACCTCGTACGTTTTAATTATCATCGCGTCGGGACTGCAGAATCATTGAGTGTGTGTCCGTACACACGTGTGTGTATGTGCGGGTATACTTTTGCGCTTTCATTAGCGTATTGTGCCTCTGAGTTATTCAGTCCTAGCCCCTGAACAGCCCCCTTTCAAACAGCCAGCCAGCCAGCCAGCCACCCACACCCATACAAAACCTCAAACAGCGTTGGCACACATGCTTAATGCCACCCTCACTCCCTCACGCACGCACGCACACACACACACACATTTTTTAACCAAACAATTCTTGACAAATAAAATCCCTTACCCTAGTTCCCCTCTCACCTTCAGTCTTTCCCTCTTTCTTTCTTTTTCCCATCGCCTAATGAGCAGTGGTTCACAGCCATGCTTGGTGACTGCAGGCTTATCTGGCTACCCAGAACCAAGGAGCATTACCCCATTACAGAGGAGGATATCTAGGAAGGACGGATGATAAGGAATGGAGATAGAGGGGCTAGAGGGAGGTGCAGAGAAGGTGTGCAATTACCAGAGGGATAACAGTGAGAAAGGGGAAACATGAAAGATAAAAGTCGAAAGGGGGAGAGTGGGTGCAAGAGAGGGAGCCATGAGAGCCACCTGGGATAGCAACTAGGGAGAGCCTGGTGGAAAGATTTATTCATGAGAAGGTCTACGGTGGATAGAGACTGTCGATTCTTCAAAGACAAGATAGTTACCACTGATACACAGAGAGGAAAAGATAAAGGGGCGTTTAGAAACTAAGGTTTATATCAATAATCCACAAGAGAGCCTAAAGCATAGGCATGAAAAAGATTTTATAATGGTCATTTGTTTTGTGAGTAGAAAAAACCATGAGTGAGACCTCTGTCATTGTTTGTGCTTCCCCCCTTTGGGGAGTAGGAGTAGCAAGTGCTGGTGTGCGGTGCATGTCAAGTGCAAAGTGGTGGGCATACTAGAGGTTAACCACGGTGAATTTGTGGTGCAATTGGTACTGTACTTTCTCTCAAGCTGTTTTTACACACAAAAAAAAGTTACATTGGCATGAAGCAGGATCTGCTCTGGCTTGCAATTCTGTGTAAAGACGACAGCAGGTATACAACTAAGCCCAAATAAATTATCCTGATACTGGCATTGAAGCAGGTTCCCTGTTTTTCTGTCACACGCACGTACACAACTACACACAATTTCCGTGAAATCACCCTGGAAACCAGACTGAAGACCGATTTCCAAGTCGAACAAACACCTGTGTAACCTGCACATTATTACTCCTGATCAAAGCTCGCATCCAACTTTCTTTACTAGTAAACCAGAAACCAGAGCAGGCATACTGTCATGCAAAACCTTGGTATTTCTTAAATAATTGCCTGCCAGGTCTACCTTGCAAATTGCAAATACTATGACAACAAAATTTTTAGTTCGGCACATCGTCTTTCATTTTAGCCTCACAGTCCTCCTGAGGAGTTTTCCCCCCTTTCCACTTCACTCTGCTCATACCCACCTTGCCCTCCCGCGCCAGCAGCTGGTAGGCCGTATGTTCGTCCAGGCTGAGGTCATCTGGCAGGGCAGGGGACGAGGACTTATCTGACAGTTGCTCCGACTTCAGCGACGCCTGCTCAATCTCTGCCATCTTGATCTGCTGCAAGGAATAGCGAATGGGAACAGCAACAGTTTAAAACTTGCCCGGAAAGTAGTTGAATTAATGGAGCGTGGTCTCATCATTGCTCAGTTTAATGGATTTGTGACATTTTCTAGGACTCATAACAACCATGACTTCTGTATTGCATATATTTGTATACATATATAAAACAGATAACATGTATAAAGGATCAGTCTGTTTTGAGGCCAACATTAGCTACACAGACAAGATAAGTAAAACCTCCACCAAGCTTCGATATGCTTCACCAGATGTTGACAATTCAAAGCGGCCATAATGCCGTGGCACCTGTCTGTAAAGAGAGCAGGGTGAGAGATTTCAAGAAGTAATAACATTGCTTTGTCATCATCATCTGAACAAACGTTTCCTAGTGCCAAGAAAATATGTGAGGAGAGAGGCTGAATGAGAGGCGAGAGAGGCAGATATCCAAGCAGTGCGTATACAGTGGGTGTATGTGTGAATGTTTTCTTGTGTATGTGTGTGTGCACCTGCGGTATCTATATGTGTATGTAAGGCAGAGTGGAGAGATGCTTTTTGTTTCCATCAGGAGCGGCGATGTAGTGGCACCAGAACCTCATAATTCTGCCCCTACAGCTAACTGTATGTTTTCATATACAACTGTACACTGAAACGTTGTTGCTGTGTGTTTGGTAGTGCTGTCTCATAGTGTCTCTCATAGTCTCACACCCATACAACATTACCGAACACAGAATAATTGGGAAGTGAAATATTTACTACGACTGTTAGTAGCTCCCTCTCACATTTGCTTGAGCTTAGTTTTTTTTTTCATCAAGGCTGCAGGTAACTCAGCCCATATGGTTATTGAATTGGTTTTAAATTGTCGCTGCATGAGCCTCCTGTAAGCTCAAGCTTCTCAGCTGATGCTGTTCTCTACCCCTCTGCCGTGCAGCACTTTTTTTTTTCTTTTCTTTTTAGCACAGTTTCAAAACATAGTGCAATCAGTGAGCTGGAGTGGAATTTCAGGGTTCTGGGGCTGCTATGATGTGCTAAAGTAGTGTGTCTGTAAAGAGACACAGCAATAAATAGCCAGAGAGAGAGAGAAGGGGGGGTGAATTAAAAAGGCTACTTAAAAAGGGCCAAGTGAAATTCAATGGAGTGAGGCCTGGTAGCGATACATTAACACATGCCTGTAGATGAGAAAGACAAAGAGATTCATGGCTGATGTGCAGCGGTAAATTACCACTGCCAAAGCCCCCAGGGGACAGAGAGAGAGAGAGAGAGAGAGAGAGAGAGAGAGAGAGAGAGAGGAAGCAAGGCAGAAGCAGAGCAATGCAACGCTTCAATTTTAAAGGAACACTTTACAGTTTTTCTGTTTTATCTCCATGTATCAGCCCTCACTCATGCTACTTCTGTATGTGACAGCACCATATTTGCTGACTTGCTCTGTCTTAGAGTAGGGCTGTAAATAACATCCAAAATCATGGGTTGGTACATTTATGTAAAGGAAACTGCAGCCTTCTTCTTCCTGTATTCCTGGCTGTGCCTCCAAGGACAATGAAAAACGCACAGTGGTTACAGGAAGAGTTGCTACACAGTTGCTTTCAAGGTAACTGCAGAGATATTAAGGGTTTCACTAACAAAACGGGTGACTCAGGCAAGAACCAACTGAAAGTGTCCACTGCAGCCTGAGCGGTGAGGCGAGGCATCGCTTATTCAGTGTCGCTGGGAGGCCATGAGAGGAGAAGACTGTGTGACTGAGCAAGAAAATAAGCATGACTCGTATCTCATGGCCCCATTGCATGACTCATGCTAGTCAGGACACAGTTAGCATATGCAATATCATTTATGCTAAACATATGAAGCAAGAGTACCAGCAGTCAGATGATAATTTCCAACAAAACTCACATGCACAAACAGGCACACCTCCTGCTCCTCCTGCTTGCAAGCTTTTTTAATACTACCACTAATACTCTGCCATCAGAGTCAGAAATGTTGTGCTTAAAAATGATAAATATCTTAATGTTTGTGTGCATCAAAGCAGTAGCTTTGGCTTGAAAAACAACTATGTCAGCACAATACACGACATCTACAGAGCTCAACATCTGTATCAATCCTCTACTTATTATTCTGCTCAGACCTTCATAGAACTATTTAGTTGCTGAAATATATGTATTACCATGCATGAGTCCATGCAGTATCAAATACGAGTATGGAATAATCTTTGACTGACAAACACTATCTTTGACCACAGGATCAGCTGATGTCCATGGATCAGCATCACTACTGGTCTGTGACTCATACCTCCCCTATGTTGTACTTTTTGCCTTAAATTCAGGCAAGGTATATTTATTACTGCCTGGTGATATAGTATTGCATTATATCTGGTTAGTAGTTACTGATTTGTACTACAAGTTAATATATTTTACAGTAGTCTGAACCACTTTCTTTAACATTATATCGAGCTGAGTGTGCTCTGCTATGGTTTAGCCTGTTCCTCCTCAGGTATCTTGCAGAACTATACTTTCAAAATAGCTTCCGAAACTCTGACACTGCCTTTCAAGATGGCGCCCTTCCAAAAATAGTGTTCATGCATGCTTGAGGATTGCCTGTTTGCTAGCAACTGAATGGATAGCATAGGCCTTCACTGCTCCACTGAGCTGTTCCCTGCAGATTCAGTTGTAGTCGGTCTCAAGCAGTGGCTGATCCCAAGTCCTTATTCGGCAGTTACTTGATGAATATTTCCACTGTCACACGCATGCTGTCACGCACTGCACCCAGGTGTCCCGCTGGGCCTTCCTGTCCCTTTAAACATAATAACGTTGTACATAATTCTCAGAACTCAAAGACTCTGTCTTGAAAATGGCACACACCCACACACGCTCTTCTCACACACAAACAAACTCACACACAAGTCTGAGAGCATGGGAAATTAAAGGAGAACAGCACTGGATCAGATACAGTAAATCAGAGGTAGATAGAGTTACATTCAGAGGAGCAGAGGGACTGATGGGAAGAGGAAGCATGTAAAAAACGGAGGAAAGATTGATGGTTTGACAGCATCTGCAGACAGGCAGAAAGCAAGACTGACAGGTGAGGAGGTGTCAAGCCCAGTTATTGCTTCTTCTGAGTTGACCCGCTGCACTTTGTCATTGTGACTGACAACACTGGCACAGGACGGTAGATTTGTGAGCGCGTGTTTTATGCAGTATCTCTTGTGAACAAAATAGCCCCAAAATACAAGCACAAGTAAAGGCGAGTGTTGATGCGTGCCTGCATGCATATCAGGAAGGGTTGCATGTGTGTACGCATGCAGCGGGCCTCATTAATCCACATTTCTGCACATATGGAAAGTTGATATTATCTTTTGTTGATGGTGTGTTTAATTAAAACTGAAATTCCCTGTTATATTGTAACATAATAGCACATACAGTAGTTGACACGCTCTATAAAGCATGAACTTCAACAGCACTTTCCATTCAGAGTGCTTTGTGTGATGAATGAAGCCCTGTGTGTGTGTGTGTGTGTGTGTGTGTGTGTGTGTGTGCGCGCGCGCATGTTTGTGTGTGCGTGTGTGTGTCCATGAAAGTACGTGCAAATGCATGTCCTTGTGTGTGTCCCTGTTCCAAATCTGCATGCATGCAATCTGATCCGAAACATCATGGTCGTGTCTGTGTGTGTGCCTGTGTGAATGAATGAGTGTGTTTGAGAGTGTGTGTGTGTTGAGTGTGAGTGTGTGTGTGTGTGTGTGTTAATAATATCTTGGTTTAGAAAGTTTTTGTAAGCTGAATCTGGCTAAAATTAGTTTTCACCACACACAAGTAAAAAAATAGCAGTGTATATATACACTGTATGTTGGTGTACACCATTACCTGTATATTTTTGCACGTGTTTACATACAGTACATTAAATGTGCTAAGGAAGGCAGATGAGAAACATCAGCCTTATATTTCTAAATTCACAACTACTGGGCGCCTGCATCCAGAGTGAATTTCTCCAACTGTTGTTTTCATCCAGCACCTGGGGTCATATTTACCAAGCATCTCAATGAATCAGCCCTAACTTACCTGTTGGGGATGTCCAGCAGGCGGACAAGGCCTGAAAAACATGTGCGCGCTTACACAGATACACTTCTACACTAGTTCATCATTTTTTTTGTTCTTGCTTCGTCTACAAAACTGTGCCTCCTTTACAGAAAACAAACTCTGAAAATGTATATGACAACATGAAACGTCAGGTGCAACAGCAACGATTTGGATCCCTCATCTTTTGTGACTGCGCTGATGCTTTTCAAAGCTTCAAATCTAAACTGTTCCTTCCCCACTGCTAAACATGATATAAAAATGCCTTGGTGAGCCTTGTTTTTCTGAATCATGAGCATAGCCATTGGTGAAGATGCCCTGAATGACCACAGCAAGTACACAATTTTCAAATACCCTATGGATATTCTGCCGTCGGTTTATATTTCAATCTGGCTGTTGTGTGGTCGACCAAACGTGCTGCTCTCTCTCACTCACTGAACACAGCTGTCAACCCAGAGAGCCGCAGCAACAGCGAGTGAGGAGGACTGCTGATTCACCTGCGACTCTCTTCAAGGGAAAGTATCATGCTTGCCCAAAAATGATTAGATTTGTTGCTTTGTTTAGTTTTGCTAAAGGGGTCAAAAAGTGACAAAGTCCAGCGACACAGTTGCTAGAGTGGCAACATTGAGGAGGTGTCTTCATAAATAACTTTTCTACTCTGAGGTGTAAATATCCTTAACGCTATTGAAATATTCTGTGTGGTTAATTGAAGTGATTCTGACACGTTTGATAAATATGGACCTCAGTGGGTACAGCCTGTCACTAATCCTCATTTTAGAAATGCATCTATCCATGGTATCCATGGTAATGCATCTATCCATGGTACTGAAAGGTAGGATAGTTGTGTCAGCCAAAAAAAAAAAAAAAAAGGATGTCTGTGGTTGTTTCTTTTGTTTTTAATTTTAACATCTGTGGCTACTGTGTGTATCAGGTGTGTGTGTGTGTGTGTGTGTGTGTGTGTACTGCATGTACGTGTATGCTAATGTGTGTTCAGGGTGGTACCTCTTGTGGGTGGCCCTTGCAGTCTTTGCATATAGGTGGAGGAGAGGAGTAGTGGTGGAAGACAGAACCGGAGAGGTTGTCGATCATCAGCATCTCCCCCTCTAACGTATCCTTGATCAGGAGAGATACACTGTCCAGCCACTGGCTCTCCTGGAACACATACACACACACACACGCACGCACGCACGCACGCACGCACGCACGCACGCACGCACGCACACATATGCACACACACACAGACACATACACACGGGACGCAGGCCGGCAGACCAGTATTGCACGCAGGCGCAAACATGTGCACATGCGGACATGCGAGGACAAAGAACACGCAGGAAAATGCATACACCATTGTGAGGGTTATAAAAATGCCTGAGTGCACACGCAGGTATGCTTTTACACTTTCTTATGTACTCACACACACAAATGCACACAATCACATGTGCATATTCACCCACACACATGTAGATTTCACATTACATAATCCTTAATTTATAAAATTCCTCAACAAAAATTAAAAACAGCATCTCAAACACTTTCTCCGTGTCAGAGATCATGTACAAATAAACCAGAACAGATCCCCCTCTCATACTTCATTGGCCTTTAGGGCTAAACACTGTTCTCTTTTGGAAAAAGGCTCCTCAATAATATGACTCCAAACCCTCATTAGCCAAGTAACACATAATTTTACTATCAAAGCCTTGAGAGCACTGAGAGTGGTGCAATTACATTTGATGTATCACCTCAATTAGACTGTTCAATACCTTGTTGAAACAATTTAAGATTTAAGCATTTGCTTTGTGCTCTGGGTATTATTAGGTTTAAAGCAATTTAGACTGAATCAGTCAGGGCTTTTTCTGCGACTTAAATGATCCCTCCTTGCTTGAATCTCATCTGCCAGATTGGTTTTCCCAGAAACCAATCTGGCAAAAAAAAAAAAAAAAAAAAAAAAACTACTGACAGAAGAAGGAAACTACTTTAAAAATGATTTCTGTGTTTCTTGGCAGGGCACTGTATTTCACAATGAATTGGATGCATTGTGCCTGTAGCACATTCATAACAGCCAAAATAACTGTATTACATCAGCAGATATATCCCAAAAGATACTGTGAAACAAGGTCACTCCTCTTCAATCCCCACACAAGCCTATCTTCATAACACATTTCCACAACATCGCTTATAGCACTATACTTAGATCAGTTATGCAAACACACATTTCTGACTCACGCTGTTATATTAAAGTCACTCATGGCTCATGTTTTGAAAATGAGGGGGCTAAGAATTCAAGAAACAGGTTACTGTACTCCCAGCAATATAAATGTACCTACATCATGCTGGTTTATGAAACAGTGCTGCAGTGCCACGTTTTGGCTCAAAGACAAACTGACTATACCCTATCCAGCTCTTTGAATAAACACAAGTATATAACCCGCACTACTTCTCCTCTTTCTCTCACACTCTCACAGGCAGTCCAGTCCCAAGATAGTTCATTCCGTGTAGGTGGAGAGCTTGATATAAAAATAATGTTTGATTGACTGTGGTGGCCTCTGTGCTGGCCTCCATTAATAACTGTATTAGTGGACAACAATAGGGCCCGTCTACAGGGAATGGAAGTTGAGAGAGAGAGAAGAGTGCTGAAATTAATTACTACCTCTATCTGACTGTCACTGGCTCAGCCATTATCTCTCCTCTCTTATTCCCTTACTCTCTCTCTCCCTGTGTGTGTGTCCACCTCCTACAGCGTCTCCTCTAGTCCCAATATATATTACTAGTCTTTCACCAAACAGTCAAACGTGACTTCTATATTGTGTAATGTGGCACATTATAGAATATACTAGTTGTAGCTGCGATCTATCCTGAAATCAGTCTCTGTACATAATCAAATTTCCAATCTACCAACATCCAATCCATCCATTTTATGTATGACTAAAAGGAATTTGAGTGGAGATGTTCCAATACAATTTTTACCGATCCCAATACCTGGACTTGTGTATTGGCCGGTACAGAGTACTGATCCAATACCACTGCATTAAAACGTTTTTTAAACAGCTGTATTCTTCTAACCCTGTATGGATGTGATATGATTGCTTTCACTGTTGTATGTCACGGCTCAGGTTAAACCCTTTATAAAACATCAACAGATACATGAATGCCAAAGGATCTTTATTTTATCATCTAATTTATCAGTCATAAAAAAATAAATCTAGGAATAAATAACAGTTCGTACACAAGTTGTCCTAACGCTAGTCCCCCATCGAAATTAAAGCCTTGCGTACTGTAAATGCTGCCTTTATTAATGGTGGGACTTTCCAGTGTAACATATTGCCTAATCAGTTACACTATTTACCGGAAATCACTTCTTCCTCGCTGCTCTAAAACAGTACCTGCCAGTGGCTACATAGTGCAAATTCCTGTGTGGGCTACTGTTTAAGAGCAGAATTAATTTCTGGTTAATAGTTACGTTCGCTGGGAAAACTACCATTACACTCAGGTGTGAAACCATAACGTTTATTAATAAATTATGTCATATTGGATCAGTGCATAGACTCACATACTTGCCTATACCTGACTCAGTATTTTAGGCAGTATTAGAGGCATTTCCAATGAGTATCAGTATCTACATTAGAGATCATAAAATTAATGTTTTTATATTTTTGTGTCTGTTTCAATTAATAAACAAAAGAAAATTAATTTGATTTACTGGAAAATGAACTGGTAATATCATGATAATGTATGGAGATTTAGTTTGGAGCTGAAAGCACAGTGAAGTCACAGTGTTTGGGTTTGCACTTTTTGACATGAGCTTTGTTCAACTGCGCACACACACACACACACACACATCACACACACACACACACACACACACACACACACACACACACACACACACACCAGGACCTGTGCTCTGAATAAATTGCACCGGTCTGCCAGATCCCTTATTGCATCACTTGAGAGGCATAACATGAGAGAGAGGGAGATTGAGATAGATAGATATGGAGAGAGAGAGAGCGAGAGAGAGGGGGAGGATGCTGCCAGTGTGTTCTCCCTGGTCTGCATTAAGTTCTTTTGTCAGCCAACACTGAGCTAAAAATGGCTCCATGAAGCCAAGTTTAGCTCTACAAAGGTGAAACTCTTCATGGCAGCCGATGAGTCATCTTTATGTGTGTTTCTGCATAGACATCTCAGACTATCATTAGCGATTTCATAATGGAAGTGTGTGGATCTGCTGTCAGTATCTGAGAGACCATCTACTCTCACACACAAATAGTAGGCAGTGCAATTATCATTTCAAAAATGTAACCTGTGCACAAACTCACATAGTCTCGTGTGAGAAAGGTTAATAAGGCTTAAATGAAAAAAGGCTAACCGAGTAAGCAATTGAAGGTGTTGTTTCTCCTTGCAGACAACACTGGTTGCTATGACTACAATAAGGGAAGACAAAAACATATTTCCAAATGGTACAGTGAAAATATATGGCCCAGCCTTCACTTTCATCTGCCAAATATCACTTTGGTAGTTTGGCTTAATTTTGGAAAATGCCTTTAATTCCAGCCCAGTGTTATTACATTCATATTAATTGGTTTTTTAACATAATTACACTTGTGCAATGTTGCAATTGAGGCACAGCTTAGTGTCTCTTTCTTCCTTTCCCTTTATTTGCCTTTTCTTTTTCTTCCCCCTCTTTGTGTAAATGTTTAACCTCCCTTGCCCTACAATCCTTCTCAAAAATCTGTAACAGAAAAGAACAAAAGTATAATTGAATTATACAAAGAGATCGAGTGTAATCACGCAACGTGGCTGTCATTCAATTTCTCACAAAAAGAAAGAGAGCAATGACTCTCTCCCATGTCAGCACCACTCAAACCCTACACAGAAATCACTGCCATATTGTTTACCCCTTTTGTAATCTTCCAGCTTGAGCATCAAATATATAATTTTCTCTGCTTGAGCTAATGCACTGATATTGTGCTAAGAGAAGCAAACTGACAGGCGACCAGAGACAGAGAAAGAATACTCTTGTTCTATCTCTCCATCTCCACCACATTTTGTGTTCCTAATCCCAATTTGAATCCTTTAGTATCTGGTATCTGCTGATATTGTGTCCAGTCCAAATTTATATTTATGTTTTTGAGAGCTGAATCAAAAAATGACAATCTGCCCTGCATCCTGCATTGCATGTTTTCCTTCTATATAGTGTATAGTGCCCTACAGTGTTTTGTATAATGTTCTTTGAGAGAGAGGTGTCAGAGAAGACATTAAAGTTTTCTCTTTCTCCCAATTGCAGAAAAAATACAGAAACTCAATTGCAGACTACAACCAACGGCAGAACTTTTGAGGCATCATACACCTGGAAATTGAGGTAAGAATGGATGGAAATGTTTTGGTTTTTTTCTCTCTGCTGTTCACTTGCTTACAGTTCACAGCTTTAGGCAATGTTCAACAGTTTTAAAAAGGAGCACAACAAAGAATTACAGCTTAGAAACAGCTGGGTTTCATCTGCGATAAAATTAAAAAAAAAAAGAAAGAAAAAGATTTGAAATGGATCTGAATGAATGTGATTGTTTATATAAACAACCACAAAAAAAAAAGAGCCCTGATCGGCCTGATCCTGATCCTGCAGATTGACTTGAGACATCCCAACTTGCAGACACACATACACACTCAAACACCAATCATACAAAATAGGCCTTTCACTCTACCAGCAAACAAACATAAGAATACATGTGCTCTCTCTCTTTCTCCCTCTCTCTTTACACGCACACACACACACACACACACACACACACACACACACAGAAATACATATACTCACTTGTGCTGGTGAGTACAGGGTCCGACTGGAGTTGCGGGAGTTGTATGGTCCTTGGAGTGCAGCAGCTGCTGCGTGTCGCATCTTCCTCACTCCCTCTCCCCTCTCTCCTCTGTCCCTCCCTCCTGCTGTGCCTCCAGGCCCTGATCCAGCAGCAGCGACTAGTCCCTTCTCTACCCCCCCACCCCCGCAAGTGGGGGCGCCCATGCAACAGAGGGTGCCCTGGGCCAGCTCCAGCTCAATTTCTGCATCCATCTCCGCCTCCTCTGCGGCCTCCTTGTTGGAGTCGTCCAGGTGCTTCATCAGCACGGCCACCACCACGTTGATGAGCACGAACTGGGCGGTGAGCACGAAGGAGACAAAGTACATAGGCGAGATAAACTGAAGGCTCGGATTGCAGGCATAGTCCACATCAGTGCCGTGGTCTGGTGGGCATTCCCGCAATGTGTCCTGGTGTCAAAAAAGCAGAATTAGAAGGACAGAGGTCAGGACAGTGTGAGAGGGGAAAGACACAAACCATCATGGATACCACACTTTTTGGAGGAAGCATTGTGAAGATACAGTAAGTGTAACCTTACAATGTTGTGACCTCAGCTACACCACCGCTGCACCAACATCCGTAGTCACATAAAAATGATTAAGTACCTTTGGGGTTATAATAGAATAGATTTAGCTCCTGTTAAAAAGGCTCTCTGTATTCCTGACAACTTATATAATCATCATGCACTCAATTATTTTGCCTCTATGCAAAACAACAGGAGGCTTTTTTTTTTCTCTCTCTTCCAGAGCATTATTCCAGTGCGTTTCCACTTTGGTTAACTTGTTCACAGTGGAGTTCAGTCAGAGCAGAACCAAAGTGACAAGTGTTTTTCTGGAGGAAGTACACATATCTCACCCAGGCTGTGACCACATGTAACAATTTCAGCCCTCTGCGCTGAAGCTGGTCTTTTCTATCTAATTTGGCATGACATTTACACACTGCACCCCTTCACACAATATCTCCATTTTCTGCCTTCACTCCCTTTCCATCATATTTTTTTCTTTACATATTTTTGTTCTTTCGTCAACCAAATCTCCACTTTCCTCACACACCCTCTCTCTCTTGCGCTGCTCTGCCTCCCCCGATTTCATCCAATTTTCCCTTTCAAGAGAAGAAAGCAAAATAACTGGTCATAGCTTTTTATTAACCTACCTTTATGAACCTTTACTGACCCCCCCCCCCCCCCCCCCCCCCCCCCCTTACCTATCATCCTCCGCCTCATCGTTCCCTCTCTTCCCTATCGTCACTGCATGACTAATTACCACTCTGCCTCACCTGCTTCATACTAAACCAAATCAGGTCTAACTCTCTCACAGCCCGGGTTGTAATTTGACGGCTAACATGACAGAGATTTACTCAGGAGGGTAGCATCTGTGGCCCGCTGGTTTGCTTCATGGCCCACTACCATCCACACTGCCTGTAACCAGCGCATGTTTAATGGTCCACGCCCGACACGCACCAGCATAATCTCTATTCCCCTCGCAGCCTGGCTGTGCGGAGGAGTGGTGTTAGCTGCTGGTGGTAGTAGATGTGTGTTCAGGAGAAATTGGTGCTTTGTGTATGTGATTGCGCAATGGGGCACAGTCATTCCCCTGCACAACAGTAAAGAAATCTGTACTCCTGGTGCTGAGCAAGCTCATTTTCTTTACATCAGCAACTATCACTAGAGTGAAAGATAGGATGCATAACAAAAGGAAGAGTTTATCTCTTCTCTCTCAGACATGTTTTAATTTCATTTTGAACACAAACTGTAATCTGTGCTCTGTGCACTATAAAATAAACACCAGACAAAGGCTACGCACACTATGCTTTGGAAAACAAAAATAGGAGCTCTAACAGGTTGAAACTTTCAAAATGCATTCAATCTTAGTGAATGAGTATCCAGATGGATGTGACTCTGTACCTTCATGATGCCATTCCAGTTGTCGCCCGTGGAGACTTGAAATAAGGTAAGGAAGGCCATGCCAAAGTTCTCAAAAGTTGCGTGACGACTCATACCCTCACATGGGTAGTCTTCATTGCAAACTGAGGATGAGAGTATGGGAGTGGATGGAGCGAGAGAGGTAGTTATCGGGTCACAGATAAGAAAGAGGTGAGAGGATAATAGAGAGAAAATGGTACAGAAAGGGCGCAGGGATAAGAAAAGAAGAAGAGACTTGTGAATATGAGCACTCAACACTTAACATGTCATTGCTCCCAAAAACTGCAGAAGCATGTGCCATTTGTGTCGCTAAGCTGTTTGGATGATTGTCCAAACAAGCCAACTCAGTGTAGACACAGTCTGTTATCAAATACGTAGCAATGTGACCAAACACTATTTGTCTTTGAGCTTATATCCCAAGATAATCTTTGAAATGGCCTCAAGAAAAGCGACACTTGATTTTTCCACTAATCCGCTCTCCTGCCAAGCTCCAATAGGAAGCGATGTTGCCACTGGCTGCAGCTGCAGTGCACAAGGGAAATGTGACAGTTTGGAAGATATCTCCCAACTTCAATGTGGATATTTTGGGACAGTACTTATGTATCAGAATACTGGAGAGTGGGTTGATTCCCTATTGGCTGTCTGACTGCAGGAGAGAGAGCTGATGAAAAAGAATTCAGAGAGGAAATAAAGAGATTTTCATATTAAAGTTAACACAAGTCTTCGTGCTTTTATGTGCACAAGATTTGGTGTCTGATAATGAGTACACAAAAATTTGACACCACAATTTCATTTACCTACAAGTAGGACAAAACTTGACACACACCCACAGTATAGTTATGATCTGTTGATAATACGCTCTTTGATTAGTTGGAATAATCCTTTCATCACATTACCACATAATATATGACGAAAAGATTAATCCAACTAGTGAAAGAGTGTATGTACGTGACCACATATATGGTGCATTTTTAGTTCCATGCCAGCAACAAGATAATACACAGTTGTCTCAAAGGTTTTAAGATTAGCTTCGAGATCAAAGAGTAATCTATCCTATGCCAAAGGAAAATCTGTCCAAAACCAAAAATCTTTGAAGAGATTCTTCTTAGGACAATTCCCCTTTGAAAGCCTGCAGGAGGCTGGAGTTAAGGCTTAACAGAAGTCCTTTTTTGTAATTTATCCAGTTATATTGGATAAATATTCATAAATTACCAAATATAATGGAGTTAATATATTGATTCTCTGTAAAAATCTGTAGTAATAAAAAAACAAAACAAAAAAAAAAAACACCAAAAACCTTATCTTATATAACTTTTTTTTTGAGTGACATAATCCTATGTAGTATCACATCTGGATATCATGCACTCACCAAGTTCTCCAAAAAGCTCTACTCCTAAGGCGGCGTAGATGAAAAACAGCAGCATGAAGAGCAGGCCCAGGTTACCCACCTGCAACACACACACACACACACACACACACCAGCACACACACACACACACACACACACACACACAGGAAAACCTCTTACCATGCATATGTCGTAAACCATTTGATGACAGCATTCTAGCATCTGAAACAACAAAGTACTCCCTGCACAACAATGTGGCGAGGTTTTATGCTCTGAATAGCTTATAAAGTCAATATATGACGCACCAGACTTGTTCCTTTTTTAGTGGGTTACTGTCAGGGTTAGGGTTTCTTTTCTGTTAACACTGCTATTGAACACATCAACAAAAAATATAATACGAGTAATGTGTGTGCATGAAACTGGTCACACAGGATTCCAACTTATTTGTAGTGTGCTGCTACAATATCACCCTGCTCGGTTCTGCAAACCATGGCACAGCTCCCTCTGAGACTCTGATACAACAGAACCCCTGCTGTGAATTTTTTAAGTTTGGGGACTTGGCTCGGTTCCACCACAACAACCGTCTGTTAAAACAACTTAATGGTGATGATAATATTGCGCGGTAAACAGTTGGGGGCAACATCTAATCCCATTCCAGGGATACAGAACCTTGTCGCCTATTCACTGTCTTTAACACTCTGCTAACAGCACTGTTCCACTGGGAATGAGGATATGCACTGATAAGTAGTTACTATAAATACACTCCATTTGTTCTAAGGAGAGGTTCAGATTACTTTACCTGTTTTTCAGGGAAAACATACTTAGTAGAGTTCCGTATATGAATAATGAATCAACATTATGACAATTACTGAGCTAGTTTTAAAGAGATTACACACAAGCCAAATAAAGTTTATTAAAAGACATAATGCTGAGATACTTGTGGCTTTTTGGGTCTACTTGAAGGTGGGATTGGCAGGGCTATAAAGATGTCTTAACCTGACGCACCAGATGGTTTGTTACACAGCACCATCTGGGAAGGCGTCATTGAAAACTGTTTGGAAAAGGCCGGCACTTTCAAAAAATACTTGGCAGGTGATTGGATGAACCATCTGTCTATCATATGACGTAGTAGGAAAACAGTGGAGAAGAAACACAACACAACAAAAAAGCCACCACCTGAGGAGCTTTGAACGTTAGTTAGCATGTTACTTTTACAGTTGATTCTTGTTGCTGCCAGAAGTTCCTCCTTTGTAGGATGCTGATTGGTCTGAACCACTGTGGTTCAGCTACACGCGAAAAAGCCTGGCAAGATGGATTCTCGAGAAATCCAGCTTTCCCGGAAGGTTAAAGATGTTTAGTTGTATAGGAAAAATCACAGTGAATAGGAGAGTTTGGAGGGAAAGCTCTCAGTAAGTAGTAGCCAAATTAAACAATTGGGACTGTAATTTAATTTAGGTTAAATTAAACTACAATGAGATTCTACACCAAGCAAAAAAAAAAAAAAAAAAAGTGTTTTTTTGCTTATATGTCTTATTGAGGAAATCAGTAGAAACTGATGTCTGCATTTTAAGGCTGTCAAAGGCTTTTCCATAAATGGACTACTATAATTCACCTGGTTAGTTTATATTCATGTTAAGCAGGTCAATTAAACACTTAATGCAAGAACTGCAGTAGATAGTAAAAGAAAGAACATAATATCTGCATACAATACAACACAATGTACATTACTAAAATATTAAAATGTGCTTTTGATGTAGGCAAATACGCCCCATTTCATGAAGGACAGTCTGATGAGTCCCTATGGACTGAAAGTAATGGAGGTCATTGCCACACAATGGAGTGCTGTAATAGTTGCAGATGTGACTGTTTTGGGGGTTTGACTCAAGTCTGTCTCTAAGTTCTACTATCCTACCTGGACTGCTTAACAATCTGTGCTTCATAATGGCCTGAGTCAATGTAGGATCCAGGATAAGGATGAATGCACTTTTGAGAAGGGGGAGTTGTACAGAGAGGGACTCAATAGTGTATTCTATGCAAATTTATAAAACAATAACTTACACTCCACTAGCTTAAAATAAACCTGAGTTTTATTATTTGTTTCATCTCGTTTTTGCACAAAGATTCAGCTGTCTTTAATTATTTCAAAGATTTAATTTAATATTCAAGATTTGATTAAATTTGGACAGACACCAAAATCACATTCATTTCTAAAAACTAAATACAGATCGTTTCAAAAGGTGCAGCTCTGATGCCAACAGCTATTCTGAAGGTTTCTTAGCCTTTCCCAGAGAAGATATAAAACAACTGGCTTGTCTTTAGTGCCAACACGATATAAGCTATTAGTGTTAGTGAACAGTTTGCTGCAGCCATCTTGCATCAGTTAGGGGGAAGAGGATAATGGAGGATGCTTGTGGGTGAAATGACTTTGTCTCACTGCGTTTTTGTAAAGACAAGCCATGAAAATGCACTTCTCTTAATGTTTCAATGATCTATTAAGCTTACCCATCCGTTTAGTGTAAGTATATGGCTCTCTCATTACATCTCCATGTCCTGTTATGGCCTATTAGATATATAAACTGCTTATGAAACTTGTTGAGTATGCACATCATGTTTAATCTTTTAAGTTATTATTCTAGCAGACATCTCTTCCTGTGTGTCATGATAGCATTATTCATACTCCTTGCCTTCTTGTAGTGTGTATGCTTGTTCAGCTGTATTCTAAAGCCTTTGTTAAAATGTCAATACCGTCTCAATATCCTGTGTGATGTAATGAAGAAAAGTTGGCAGCTTGCCATTTCATTTTCACAGTGAAATAAGAGTGCAATATCGCCGCAGGTTAAATCTCTCGCCAGGTGTAACACTTTTGTTCTCACTCTTTCAGTACCTCAATATGCGCACACACCCATACACATAGTCAGAGACCTCCTGAAACTGTTTAATTAGCCCCAGTTTTAATTACCTCCCCTGATGCCCTTGGGATAGAGCAAAGGGCTCAGTGTTAATGAGGGGGGGATCAATAGAAAAGAAAGACAAGGAATCTGTTCTCCCTCACCTCTGCCTGCCCTCCCTTCACCACACCACCTGTTTCCCTTTGTTTGCTGCATCTTACTTTTGATGGTCAATGGGTCAGACCTTGTGTGTGTCTATGTACCAGCATGTCCATAAATAAGGCTGTACACCTATCTTTGCACCAAACCTATCTGTCTAGAAAACTGCCTTTTTTTTAAAGGAATATTTTCACATTTTGATAAACACACTTATTCACCTTCTTGCTTGGAGTTACATGAAAAGACCACACTCATGTCTGTGTGGTATATATTGCAGTTACATACAATATGTTTTTGTACGTTGGGATCCTTTGTTACGTGTCATAGCCCTCTCCCTCCCCACATTTTCTAAGCTAAGCTAAACAGCTGCTGTACTGATGTGGCATAAACATAATTCCAAAACTTTCAAACTATTGCTTTAAGTTTTCACAGGTAAAGTAGTGAGGACACTGCAGTTCACACTAATCGTAAAAGCAAGTCATCAGCATATAGTGAAAAACAGGATTCTGGGTAAAGTTTATTGATAAATAAACAATGGGACACTGATTCTGAGGTAGCACATAAAAATGACATAGCATCAACCACATATCAACCAGACAGGATCATTATAACTTCAACAACTTTTGTTGTCTTTTATTTTATTTCTAATATATAAGATTATAGCATGCAGAGAATACTTCCAGTCAGTAAGAACAGCAAGCAGAGAGGCATTCTGGGAATTTTCTAGGGAGCTGAACTTTGAGTGCACTGGAATGACTTGACACTGGGACGGTGTAAAAACTGTCTGCCTCTGTGGACAGTTCACCACCAAATGAACTACAGTCTGGTTTAAGAAGTCCCTGCTGTTTCTAGCACACTGTGGTCGCAGTGGGAGTCTGGGTACTCTCCATGGTACTGAAAGTGAAAACAAGCCAAAGCCCGGGTGTGCGTGTGTATGTATGTGTGCGTGCACGTGTGAGCGCCAGTCTACCAGTCTGTGGTATGAATGAGTCATCTATTAGAGCTGCCTACAGGCCAACAGAGAAAGAGAAGGGGGGCTCATACCAACTTGGCTATTGACTGAGATTGGTTCTCTCTCTGGGAGTGTGGAGTGTGTGTCCTTGAGGAAAAAAAAGAGGGAAAGACAGTGTGTGTAAGTGTGTGGGTGTGAGCGTACCTGAGGCAGGGCTTGGACCACCGTATCCAACAGGGCTCTCATTCCTGTCGCCATCTTCAGCAGCTTCAGCACTGTGTGTGTATGTGTGAGAGAAAGAGATTTTAAGTGTGGGCATTTAGGGGGAAATCCCTCAGGTTCAATTACAGACTAAATGAGAAACATTAACCTGCAGAAAGGTCAGTGCTTAATTTACACCCTGTGTAGCACACACACGCGTACACGTTCATACATACATGTATACACAAAAACAACACCTCAGACATTAGCTGCTATGCTACAGCTAACTGACGTGTAAAGGTTTACCGTTTCAGCTGTTATATTTAAACACAGTAGTGAGACAAAATCAATATTCCATATCACTGAAAGGGTGTACATGAAGGGAAGTTGGGACATGACTTGTAAGTGTGTGTGTGTGTGTGTGTGTGTGTGTGAGTATTTCACACAGGTGTAGTTAATGTACCTCGTGCTATCCTCAGTACTCTCATGATCCTGATGATAGTGGGGTTGATGGGCAGGGCAGCACTGATCTCAATCTCCTCCAGGGTGATACCCATCACTGACAGAAGCACAATGGCCAGGTCCAGCTGGTTCCACCTAGCACAAGCACACACACATATACACACACACACTCATATGATGGAGCAAGGTACACAAAGGAATAGCAGCACACACACAAACACACAAAAAGCAAATATACACACAAAGTGATGAAAAGACGAAGTCACACTTACAAAGCTGTAGCCGTTCACGTTCTGGCTTCGACTGTAAGTAATGCACTAAGGGTTGTGTGAAAAGTTCTGAGCCTCAGGAGGTATGTAGCTAATTATTAGTTACCTCTCAACAAGTTACTCTCCTCCTCCTGCGACAGTGCCTCAGCCCCAAAAGCCCTTAATTAATCCATCATGTGTAGCAAAATGCTTGGCAGACAATTTCTTTTTAAGGCTTGAGGACAGATGAGAAACAGACATAACCAAATCAGATAAGTATAGTGGAAAATCAAAGAGCTTGACGCCACCATACTCCCTGTGACATCTGACTTATGGGCAAGTATTTTTACCTGATGTAACTACACCACTTTTGCAAATATCCTGATATGTTAATCCTTTATTACCTCATGCAGTTGCTTCGGGAGGTCGTGTAGTCCTCATTTATCTGCTGACGTTTTGGAAGATGGTCAACAATAGACATCTTTTGTGAAATCATCAAGGAGAGCTGGAAACTGCGCAAGTTTTTATGGGAAGTGGTAAATGAGGTGCACATATGATCTGGGATCACATAGCAAGGCACCCGCAGTAAACATTTGGCACTGTCAATTCATTTGTCAAAATGCTTGCCAAACTCTCTAATTTAAAATGACAATGACAACAGTGTATCAATCACAGTCTGTGACTCACTATCAACACGCACATGATCCTGTTTCCTTCCATTGTCAGGGCCTGACTGACTGTGGATCTACGTCTTTTTTTCATATTTTTGTTCCATGGAACAGAAGGTGCATCTTCCTCTGTGGTTTAAGACTGGGGACGGTAGCACACTGAGTAAGACATCATGTTCCTTAATCACTTAAATGCATCAAAGTCATGGATGCAATCTGGCTCACCTGGTAAAAATGCACTTTGCACAACTAACGGTTGAATTAAATGTGTTGGACTGTTATTTCTCCCTCACTGTCAGCCTGAGAACGTTTTGGCCTGGCACAAATATACAGTAGACACACACACATCTGCAGACTTACAATAAATGCAGTTCTGATGGTGGCACATGTGGCAGTGTGTCTGTGTGTTACCTGCTACTCCAATGACCCAGTTCTAAAGCTGGCCTGAGAGTCACCCCAGATTTTAAATCACACTATGCACAATGCCTGCTCATGGCTTTTTCTGACACTACATAAAAAGAGACAAAGTGCCAGCTGATAACTGCGTGATAAAATTCTCTCTATATCCGTCCATCTCTTTCTCATTTCATCACTAATTTTTCCTCTTCCTTTTTTGTCTTCGATCACTCCAGCTTCCCCTTCTATATATTATCTGTCTCTTCCCTGTGTGTCTATGTCTCCATCACTCACCTTATCTCCCTCGCTCTAACCGTTTCTCCTTACCCCCCCCCCCGCTCTCTCTTCCCTCTTTTCACTAACTAAAATAGGTCAATGACATTAAACTACCATCAGTGTATTATAAGCTCCTAAATCTGTTTCTGCCTTTAATTACTCACCACATGTCCCTGAAAAGAATAAGACATCAGTCTCATCACTGCACACATTCGAGTGATTGACAGATCAATTAATCTGAGCTCTGAGTGGAGTGAGTGAATGTGGGAGTGAACAGACCAGTGATGAGGTGTGTTTCCTGCAGAGGTCACACAAAGGTCTTAACAGTAGGTTGGAGAAATGGAAAGTGCAGAATCACATGCAGAGAACTAATAGACAATTAGGTTTTGTTAAGCAGAATAATGTAGTGAAGTTAAACACTCTTTTCCAATTAGACGGGCATTAGTTCACTCAAATTAATACAATGAAAAACTCTCATTATGGAACTGGACTGGAAATGAAAGTTATATTTAGTTAATTGAATTACTTGTAAATGTATTACAGTTTATATTTGCATTGTGGAAAAACTTGATGGAATAAGGGAACTAAAGACTGATTTGATGGTGGCCAAAGAAACAAATGACTATAAAAAAAAACTGTATATTAATACAGGACATTCCTCTCTTTTCTAACAGAAGCGATGATGTGTGATAATTGTCATGAAATCCGTATTTGCACCACTGTATGGTTTAGTCAACTTAATAACAGAACACATCAGAGCCAGCTCATATATTTAAACATATTTTATAATCCTCTATAACGTTAAAGCTGCTAGTCGCTATTCCATTTATAATGATCAAAGCAAAAGGCGGATTTGTTCAGCCATTACACTTTGAACTAAATAACTGTTTATTGTAGCACTATTTATATTATATGTTAATTCAAGAGATTATAGCATGTGCCGAGAGCCATGTTAAACGCTTTAATGTTTTTTCACATCAAATATGTGATAAGTGACTTAGCTGAATAGACAAAAACATAGAGTGATACTGTCAGAAATTAAATCTCCGTTTTAAAATATAAAGCTAATTTTGCTGTATCTAATTTAAAGGGTGCTTGTGTTTTTAGGTTAGAGGCCATAAAAAAAGATGATTGACAATTATAATGCCGCTTTCCTTCAGGTACAGTACAGTCGACTGGACCACTCTATGGACAGAAGATGAAAAAATCCATACGTTTACAAAGTGGGACAAATAAGCTCACAGATACATTTATATGCAGACATAAAAGGAAACACTCTCATATACAATCACACTGCCAACACACAAGGTATAAGTACACACTGTACCTGTCTTTGAAGAAGCGGCGAACACCAAAGGCGATGAGTTTGAGTACTGATTCCAGCACAAAAGTGGAGGTGAAGAAATAGTTGCAGTACTTCAGGGCAAGATCCAGAGACTGGAAAGAGAGATTAAAAAAAAAGGTGTGTGTTTGTGTGTGATGGGGTAGGGAGTATCAGCAAGATCGACAGGGAGAAACTGTAGAACTGAAATTGTTCCCATTGTTTGTAGAGTAAATCAAGCATGCCAGAGGAAAAACAGAGCGTCCTCCATTCGCAGCACCACAAACACACACATTACGTCCCTTAACAAACACAGATTCTTAAACTTAACTGTATTCACTGAGAATTCAAATATTCCACAGGCAAGCATGTTTTAATTGTCTTAAACATCCAGTTGAGCTTTCTGTTACTGCGGAGACTGGAGATTACTTTGCTAGCTGTTTTCGTTCATAAATAGAGCTGTAGCTTCTAGCAAGTGGGAGGCTGCCAAATGTCAGGACCAACAGCTGACAAATACAGCCAAGACCTGTGATATTTATCTGATGCTTCGCCAGTTTGAGAAAGCTTGCTCCACTTTAAAAGGTCAGATGGGCATCTTATCTCAAGGATAATCACTTTTCTCTCCCTCAAAAAAAACGCTATCTGGCTTTTGAACCTCTGTTCATCACACACGTATGGACAGCTACATGTACTCTATAGCTACACACACCACTCTGACAGCAGCCCACGTCAAATCAGCAGTGCAATCACAGCTCATTGTATGGACTGCAGCTACTCACAACACATGCTACAGAGCCTGGATACAATTTCACGGTGGTGGACCAGTCAGTGGTATCACTTGTGTGTTTTTAAGGTGCTGATTGATGCAGTGCAGGAAAACAGCTACAAAAATTGACAGACACTAATATTCTGCATAAAATACACCCAGCCTTAGTTCTTCCTACTGAGAGTGAGCCTGTAGGAAAACGTAGAAAATGTTTGTTTTTGTCCATATTTTGTGGAGAAGGTGGTTTAGGGGAAGTGAGAGCAAAGCTGCGCAACTCTCAATCCTTACGACACACAACTGCACCTGTGCCCACTGCAAACTCAAAGCACACATATTTTGCACACACAGGTACAGTAAACATTCCTTCTTACATGAGGTTGATTGTAGTGCTCTAGGGACATGGTGATGACGTTGATGCAGATGATGAAAGTGATGATGAGGTCCAGGTAGTGGTTTGTGCACAGTGTGTGGATCATCAGGCGCATGTGGCCATAGCTGGAATAGTAGGGCAGCTTCTGGGCTTCTGTTGGTAGAAAAATACATGAATGAAGCTTTTAAATAATTTGTATTTGCGTCTAATGTTTTAGTTAAAGAGAGTATAATGTGTTTTCTCTGCAGTGATATAAACTACTAAATGTTCAAATCTATATGCTATTAGAATTAGTTTTTACATTATATATATATATATGTATAAGTGAATTCCAAACAACCTGCTCTTGTTGCTACTTGTTGTACAACAGACCATCTGTATCATGTGGAGGAGATGAGATTTCCACAGTGGACCTGCTCCACACTGAGAACTTGAAAATGAAAAATTTAAAAGCTTTGATCAAGCTGATATTGTCAACAGAAATATCCAAAGCCTTATTTTTCAGGCACTTTGTGTTTTGTATCATTGTCTTGTTTTTTTTCCTCTATAAAGCTCCTTCCTGCCTTTCTTTCTTACCACACTCCTCCTTTCTATCCTCTATCACTCTACTCTTGTCTCCTCCTCCTCAAAGCGTTCATGCGCCTCTTTTTTTCTCTCTCATCTTTTGGCTGCTTCAATACTCTATCCCCCTCCTCTCACTCCTCTTTCTTACTCCTCCTCTTCTTTTCCATGCGCCGCTGACGCTTCTCCTCTCGTCTCTTGGCCTCCTCCACCTCCTGGTGCTGGCGGCACTTGTGGAAGTTCTCCACCACCACGCCAACGAACATGTTGAGGACGAAGAAGCTGACGATGAGAAGGAAGGAGATGAAATACAGCAGCATCCATGGGTTGTTGTTGATCACCGGCTGGGGTTGAAGTGGTGTGTTTGTTCATGATATGATTTGATATAAAACAATGAGATGTGAAACAAGGTAAGAAACAAAACGGAGATGAGAGAGAAGGAGAAAAAGAGTTAGTGAGGTAAAAATGTAAGATTTCCATTTTAGATCGTGAAGATTTTTTGTTTATGAAACACTGTTGTTGTACAGCTTATATGTGGGTACCTGTTGGTCCACAGCCACAGCATCCAGGCCGTGATACATGATGTTAACCCAGCCATCCTTGGAGGCGAGTACAAACAGGGACATCAGAGCCTGGACAACAAAAGGTAGAGAACAGAAAGGAAAAGTTTTATGCTTACTTTATGGGGAAAATTCTTTTTTTTTAAATTATGTTCTGCTTCACATTCATATAAGAAACATCATGCACAACACACAAGTGACACTTACCTGTCCCAGGTTGTCAAAGTTGTACTTATGGTGAACCCACTTGTAGTTGGCTTGGAGACAGTCAGACTTGTTGGTGATGTTTTTGACATCAGGGCCCAAGCAGTAGAAGAACTTGCCTTTAAACAGCTGTCAGGAGAAGAACAGAGAAACAAAGCTTTTGATGCAGTCCAACTACTTAGAAGAAAACAGAGAAGTAAGCCTTCACAGAGGCGTCCGACGAGATGAAAGGATGCGCGAGTGAAATAATGAGCTGGTCAAAGATCCCACAAGCTGAAAATGTTGTGCAGTGATGAAAGAAGTAGGAAGACAACGAGAGTTTACTTAAGAGAGAGAAATATAAAAATCCATGTGCAGATGTGCTTCAAAGATATTAAGAGGGAAAGGACGGGAGAGAAACAGATTTGTTCAAAAAAATCATACTAATGGGGAGAGTATACAAATACATTATTTAAAAACTTTCTGCAAATAATATGCTTCCTACCTGTACCCCAAGAATGCCAAAGATGATGAAGAAAGCACAGCAGATGAGGACAATGTTGCCGATGGGTTTGAGAGAAGTGATGAGGGTCTCCACCACCAGCTTCAGACCAGGAGCTCTGCTAATCACCCTGGAGAAGGGAGAGGAAGAAGAGGAGAACAAAAACAAGTACATGAAATTGAATACATGTCCTGAAGGAAAACTAAAGAGGATATAATTGATTAATAATGGCAAAGATTTCTGTCTGCTGTTAAGATTGATAAACACTTAACAGTAAAAAAAAAGAAAAAAAAGAAAAAAAAGAAAAGAATAATAATAAAAAGAAACTAGAGTTCTTTGTCCATACCTGAGGGGGCGCAATGTTCTGAGCAGCCTGAGTACTCTAAGCACCCCCAGGATCTTGGCCCCACCCGCCATTGACACAACAATGTCAATCAAAGACACAAAAACCAAGAAGCCATCCAGAACGTTCCAGCTGCTCCGCAGATAAGCCTGTTCTCCTACATACAGACCCATGGAAACCACCTGAAGATGAGTGTAAAAAGAGGCGAAGCAACATCTTAGAACATGGACTACACTTTTAGTTACAAGACATTTGTATATCGTCAGCTTCAGAGTCAGCTCTGTGTTACGAATGTGTTGCAACAAAGGATAACAAGGTGAAACCAAAAGATGAGATGATATACGGATAAAAAAAAAATCATAAGCAGGTGTAGGATAAAAGGCTGTGTGTAACATGTCTCGTTAGTGTCAAACACAAACACATTAAAAACATGTTCTCACCTTGCTGCTGAAACAACAATGCGCCTGACAAGCAGACACACACACACACACATTCAGATGTATGTACACACCTCTTCAGACAACACCTGCTTTGGCTAGAGAGCACCCAGAGCAGACGTTGACTTTATCTGTCACACATACAGTATGTGTACACACACACACACACACACACAGCTAATTAGAAAAAAAAAGAAAAAAAAAAGACCACACACACACACACACACACACTTGCAACTGACACACTAGTGTGCAGGCACCAGTGTGTTTGATACACAGGGGTACAGTAATAATGCCCTGATGCCTGTGTCTTTGGCTTGTAAAAAGATTACTGTGGACCCATTTTACATATGATGGTACTTTATTCTTCTGCGACTTCAGCGCTGAGAGATGGATGTTGTGCAGGCATTGTATTACAGATGCACAAAGCTGGATTCAGTGTTTGGCTAAGCAGCAGTGGGAGCACTGCGCCTGCAAATAAAAAAAAAAAATCTGCCACTGACATTTGAAGGTGTTTGCCAAGTGTCCGGTAAATCTTCAGAGGAAGTGTGGGGGTTAGCGTGCAAACATATCAAGATGGTTGACAGATCAGTGCTTGGAAAACATCTTAGGTCTAAATGCCAAAACGTAAACTGAATGTACAACACTCGCAAGTGTGGTCTCAGTTCACAATTCTGATTATTCTAATTATATACATAAGTGTAATCTACTTCTATAGAATGGGAAACAGCACTGCTTATTGCATACAACTACAATCATTAGAACTAGTGAACGTGTTTTGGGGAGTGCTACATTGTGCTTGAAGCTGCCTCATGAAATAACTCTCTGAATAGTTGTGCAACATGCTGACCCATTCTTCAGCCCCGCTTGTGCTGTGCTTTTTTATTTGGCTACTTCTTGTACACAGCATCAAACCTCATGGTGGAGTCCTATGGAGAGATTAATGCTACACAATCAAGCACACAGCGACACAAATTATGCAGACACACAAGGCTCAGACAGACAGAGACATGGAGGGAGACATGTACGGCGCGGCCAGAGGGCTGACAAGTCTGTGGCTCATTGACGGGCTGAGATTGGTTAATAATTGATTGTGGGAGTGCATAATTGATGGCCCACTTGTGCCAGAGCCTTTCGCAGAGCATACAGAGACAGTGGCAGAGGGAGAGAGGGAGAGCAAATAAAATAAAGGAAGGATCGAGAAACAAGACAGACCGAGAGTCTGAAAAAGGACTGATGAGAAAAGAGGGACCCTAAGGAAGTGGAAACGCAGACTTAAAAAAGAAGCAGTCAACAGTGGAGCGGTGTGGGGGAGTGCTGCAGATAGACCGCATCCATAAGAGAGGACTAGCCACTAATTAATGACATTGCTTAATTGCTCTATTCTCCAAAGGAAAATGGGAACTGCCATGAAAGAAGGAATGGGAAGGGGTCGAGCTGTGGGACCACTGAGGCACAGTCAATTCAGTGAGAGAGACAAACAGGAAGACACAAGAGGAGACAGACAGACAAAAAAAAAAGAAAAAAAAAGATGCCTCTGTGTAGTACAGCCACACACTACACTCAGGACTCATTGGCAGTAATAGAGAGACAGGTTGTAAAATGTTACCTTGAGTGTCATCTCGCCCACAAAGATGGCAGTAAAGATGTAGTTGGAGATGGTTAGAAAGACTCTTTCCTAGACAGACAAACAGGAGGAGAGGAGAGAGAGGGTTGACAGTCAGAAAGAGGAGATGGGGCAATTAGAGGCAGTAAAAGCTTACTTACTGCACCTTTTAGATAATAAAACTGAATTTATCCTCAAAGAATACAAAAAGCTACCACACAAAAACTACAGAGAGGAGCTGTAGCTTCTAACGCACACACTAACACACATGCACACACACACGCGCAAACACTTCAAATGGATTTACCAAGCTGCCCTGTAATATCTTGGGCCTCTCCAGAGCTACTGTGATGCAGTTGGAGAAGATGAAGGCCAGCACCACATAGTCAAACAGCTTATGAGCTATGATGGACTGGCACATCTGTCTGAACCTGGAACAAGAGGAGAGATGTGAGGCCACACTCTGTCCAAACACAATTTAAAACAGTCTTCCATCCAATCAGAACGGGAGCCAAGTTCCCTGACAGTGCATAGGAGCGCCCTCGTATCTTGGTGAGTAAATAGCCTCATTCAGCCCCTGTTTACATCACTCCTAATTCAAAACAAATTACATTAACAACACTCTCAGAAGCACTAGACTCCTGAGTACAGTGCTCTGCTGGGAAAACAGAAGAGAGAGATGAGAGAGAAACAAACAGAAAGAGAGAGAGAGAGAGAGAGAGAGGAAGACAGAAAGAGATGGGACATACAAATACTGAATATGCATTTCAAAACTTAGCATGTGACACTGTGTACTGCCAAAAAGCAATTAAATATCTTCGCTGCAGTGTTTATTGGAACGGATGAAAAGAAGCAGAATGAATCAACTGGGAGAGGGATCGAATTTATTCTAAACTATTTTGGAACACACATGGAGACATTTAAATGCCTTTTATTTGAATACTCAACTGTGTCTAATATAACCCTTCCTCTGCAGATTGTGACACAACATGTCTACAGTAGTAGAGTAGCCTATGGTATAAAATTTACCCTACGCGGCCTGTTTCTCTGTCCAACAGGAGGGGACAGGGTAGGAAATATCCTTTTGTTATTTGCAAGGTGACAATCAATACTCTAATGCAGTCCTTCTCTGTGGAAGGTGGCAACCTGTCCTTCCTATTGATGAGGTGGAGAACAGAATCTTCCCATCCATCCTTGATATTGCTTTGGTGGGATATGTCCTGTGGCCAGCTGATAATGTGCGTGTGAGAGACTGTGGAGACTTGAGCTACAAAACAGCCCACATTTTGAGTCAACACACTTTTGACGCAGTCAATCACTCCAGCACTAAAAGCGCTGGATACAACACATTTGATTAAAAAGGATTTTTAAAAAAAAAAGAAAAGAAAAAAAAAGCAGAGCGGGGGATAATGGTGACTCACTTGTTCTGTGGTGAGAATAGGAAGACAGACCAATCCTCTCTGGTCTCACACCAGTCGGGTCTATACGCTTCTAACATCTTCTGGATGCGGAAGCACAAGCTCTGAAACAAATGCATACATCAGCACACATCATGGCATGCACAAGCAGAGCCCATACACCAGCAGTAAACCCAAAAAGACACACAGAACTGCACAGAGAAACTTCCTGTTTTTGAATTATTTACGAAAGTGAAACACTTCTATAGCAATAGCTCCGAGCATCTTCCAGCATTACCATCTGTATAGTTCTCTCCCCCGCTGTCTAAATAGTCCTTTCTAATTAACCTTGTTTCTCTCATACACAGACTTGTTTACAATGAAAACAATTGGACTCCCATGAGGCCCAGGTGATAGAGAGTGCAGGCTTTATACAAAGTATTTGAAGATACTACACAAGAGAGCAGGAGATTACTGCATGTGTAAACTCTTGTACTTTATCACAAAAGCTAATGATTCAGTTACTGAGAATCACAAGGCTAGATTGTGTTTCTTTGTTCTTTTTTTTGTTACACACTGTCTTAGTTATGTTTATCTGTATCTCTGGAACTAGACTATGTATCATAGGAAAGTAGTATGATTGCATAACCTTATTTCACTTACTCACCAAGCTTGTCCTAATGCTATTACTGTTTAATTCCCTCCCACCCACACACACATAATAGTAACCTACATATTCAATGTCATCATCCAGGTCCTCCCGGTCCTTGCTTCGTGCGTTAACTTGAGGGAAGACGTCAGCCATCAGTTGGCTCTGAGGGTTCGCCCCTCCAGCCTGTTCATTATGTTGTCTAGGAGGGGGCTGGAGAAGCTGAGACAGTGGAGTCTTTCCATTACAGTCTTGGTGGACCCCTCCTAAGACACCCAGACTGTCGAGTCCACCGCCACCACCTCCACCACTGATTACCACCCCCCCAGAGAAGCTCTTCTTCCTGTGGTGAGCATGGAGCGTCATGGGGGGAAGTGGGTGATGTGGCGGTGGTGGAGGGTGTGGAGGTCCTGGGACCTGCAGCAGGTGGGGCAGCTCTAGTGATAGAGCTCTGCGGTCTCTCCTGGGAACAAAGTGACCTGGGAGCATCGGATGGGGAAGGTGGAGCTGGGTGACAGGAGGAGCAACAGCAGGAGGGGAGAGAAGAGACTCCTCCTCGTCTGGGTGGACATGGTGGAGGTGCCGGTGCGGGGATGAGGAGGCTCGGGGACCACGGATACGAAGGCTTCCTCCAACCACTCCTCCCAAACTACCCAGGCCGTAGCCATAGAAGGGCCTTGCAGAGGTGGGGTTGAAGGCTGGACTAGCGGAGGGAGATGAGGAAGAACAGGGGCGGCCGCCTCCCAGGCTGTTCCAGCTGGAACGACGGGCCCACAAGGCCTGAGGCTGGGGAGACACTGGGCGTCCCCAGTTGTGGTAACCCCGACCTGGATACTGAGAGACACAGAGAGAGAGAGAGATAGAGAAGTTTCTTGCTGTAATTCTGACCCATATCCTGTCTGGATCTGCCCTGGCCGTCTGATTTACTAACACAAATAAATAAAACATGAACAATACAAATTACATGGAATGTGGAAGTGCTTCTGTGAAAGCTTCCCATACTTTAACTTGTAGTCAAGTAACTGCCAAAGCATTTAATTAGCTAAACAAATAGTTGAGGTAAAAACTTTCTGTTGCATATTATCGTCCTTGAAATGAATAAGACGATGAAAAACCTTCGATGTGCCACTAATTAAATGCCATTGTGGTATATATGAATACAGTTATGACCTAACATGTGATTTACAGAGAGAGTACCCATAATATTCCTTTCACACAGTTTCAGTCACATCAAAGCGCAATGACCAGTCAGTCAACCGACAACTAACAAACAGCCCAGCAGCTATGTATTTTCCAGCCACTCCTAATACAGTTATTTCCACTTACCACAGCCCTCTGCTCCAGATTGGCCCTGCCAAGAGAAATAACACTGTTCTTCCTGGAGCCAAGAGCAAAGGTTAACCTCTCTCCTGGAAACAGACCAGCAGGCAGCGAGGACAAGTCCAAGTGCCCATTTGGGGTCAGTGTACAGATCTTTGGATCTACAGGAAAGAGGGAATGGAAAGAAGTAGATATAAGAAAGGAATGATAAAGGGAAGAAATAAATTCAGATGGATGAGTGTTAAAAACTGTGGCAATGAAAGAAAGAGCATTAAGCAAGACTTTCAATCCCTTTGTTTGCTTATTCTCTGTTAATGTTACAAAGACAGAACTATAGAACAGAATTTTCTATCAGAGTACACCATAAATGTCCTGAAACAATGTTACGGCCAGCTCAGATAGGGGAAGGTTTGATTTACACTGAATTGCTTTCCAGGAGCCAGAAAGGAGCTGTCCATTCTCATACATATATTTTGGTGGAATAGGTCTGAAGGAATATTAACATTTCTATTGTGTTTGATTCAAATAAAAAGGTAAATTGGGACTCAGGAGAGCTGTGGTCAGACATGATCAGAGTCCTCCCTAATGTGCTGCTAAATGCTACTCTGTACTGCATGATGCTTTGGCTGGTTCCTGATGAGTTCACGTTTGTTATGCCTACAGGGAGAAGAGGGGAGAGTTGTGGATGGAGAAGTGGCATCAGACATGCATTATTTAAAGTTTGCTCGGCTTCAATTTCAGACTGATGCTTAGCAATGTTTGTTATGGAAATCAGACAACAGGCGACACGTTTGATTCCCAAGGTACAACGAAACAGCTGATAACTTTCTGTAGCGCTGAAAGGTCATAAAATTGGTTACACGGTGCCACTTTAGCCAATCTAAGTATTTACTAAGGTAATGGTGTGGGCTGATGACAACTACAGGACAAAACTTCTAGGGGTGAAATGGTCACATAATTTCAGAAGTGAGAGGAAAATCAATCTATATTAAACAAAAAATGCTGTAAAGCTCTTGATGGCATTTAATACCTGAGAGATGCAGAGAGTCTTTCTGTTTATCATTCTCCTCGAAATTACAGGAAGACCTGTCATCATCTGAGTAAGAGCGGTTTGCATCACCCTGTATCAGGCACAGCGAAAGAAAATTAATGGGGGAGAGAGAGAGATAGAGAGAGATGCAGAGAAGGACAGGGCAGGCGTGGCAAGGCATTAGAGGAGGTGAAGAAGCAGAGAGTGGGAGAAAGAGTAAGAAGTGTAGGGAATACAATCACAAGCTAATTTAAATAGAAACTTCCAAATATTTGTGCTTTCCTCTTGTTAATTTGCTTTTTGTAAAGTGTATACTGTCCAATGCCCTCAACCGAGATTGTTACACATGTCTCACCTCAGCTTGGAAACCCTCGACCAAGATGGCAACCAGTAAATTGAAGAGCACATAGTTTCCAAATGTCATAAGAGCCACAAAATAGAGAGCAGCACAGGGCGATGTGGAGGCCATGCCATTGTACAGCACCATGTTCCAGTCCTCCTGAGTCAGAATCTACAGCAAATAGAGTGGAGCAGGAACACACACATATGGTCCATACACAGACAAATGTGGATACAGGTTTGAAAAATTTGCAGATTCACAGGCACATCTGTTTAGGTTGAAAGTGTTGAAAGTGTGTGTGTGTGTGTGTGTGTGTGTGTGTGTGTGTGTTTAAAGTATTTGTACCTGAAAGACAGTAACGATTGCCCAGAGCAGGGAGTCAAAGTTCTTCCTGTCGGGCACTGTGTCTCCTGCCTCTGTCTTCAGACTGAACTTACAACCAAATATATGCATCCCCAAGATACTGCAACACAAAAAAATGGCCACGTATGCTCTCACAGAAAAAGAACAAGTGCATTTATGTGGTTGAACTGTGCACTGAAAAGACTCAGGGGGATTTAAGTATGTCATGGGCTCTGTGTGAAGATTCACAGAGAATGTGCTCAAAATTGAAATAAAACAGTATTACTATTAAAGCAGTGTAGAGATAGGATCAAAAGAAAGATACAGAGTGAAAGAGAGAAGAATAGCACTGCATACACAGTGAGCTGGTTTCAAGAATTTGCTGTCATAATTTGACAGCAAATACACAACGCATACACAACTACATTCAAGACCATGAACCTAAAACATACACACACATATACAAAAACATATAAACATTACAATCTTCTATCCCTGTTTCATTTCAAAGCTTTTTTCTTTGATTCTCTTCCTCTCTTTTTCCCATCTCTTTGCAGTTGTCACAAGACAGCGTAACACAGTCAGTCTCATTCATATTCTCATTCATCAATGTTTTCTCTACAGCAATTATGGAGAGGTTTTAAGAGTTAAAGTCATAGCTGAGTGGTGTTGTACATTAACTGCTCCCTAAGAGCTACACTGGCTACATATATAAACCAAACGCCACTGGCTCAGGATAGCATTAACTGGCTAAAATCTCTGATGCCATCTGTCTTGCCACACTTGTTTTTTATTGCTATGCTGCAAGGGTTGGCAGGTACACATGTACACACACATATGGGGTCACAAAAACACATGCACACACAAAGCAGGACTAAGCTAATAACATTACGCTGCTGTAGAACTCATCCATCGTGTAAAAATGATTGCACTTGGAACAATTAGGATAAATTATTCAAATAACAATAATTCTGTTAATACCATCTTTAGAGGTGAATTTAGTGGGAAAACAGAGCAGCAGTATGTGTGTGTGTGTGTGTGTGTGTGTGTGTGTGTGTGTGTGTGTGTGTGTGTGTGTCCTGGGGGATGTTAACAAGAGGAGCGATTAGGCTGAATGATTATGTTTCTGTAAATTACAGTCTTCAGCATCCGCATCGCAATATTCATTTAGGTACAATGTAAATGCTGCATTTCATCTTTAATTGTTACATGTAATTTAGAGGATAATTTTTAAAAATATTAGGACAACTCAACCTCTCCATTACTTAGATTTTACAGTCGGCCTAGTGGAATGATTGTTGACTGAATTCATGTAAAGGAAAAGCATTGCTAATGGTGTACTACCAACAATTTTTTACAGTCAAAAGTAAAGACATTCATGTCAGTTTTAAATTAAACCAATTCATTTGATTAGTATGTGAGAAATTTAAAATCTGTTTCTGTCGGCTTAATAGTTATGGCTTATTGTTATCACTGTTCTTTGGCTCAATGCTTATCTGTCTTATTTAATGGAATTTCAAATGTTGGTGCAGCCACATACACTGCTGACCAACAACCGAGTTAAGGTACTCATAACCTTCATGGTAGATGTAACACTGGAGAAGGAAGCAGGTCAAAGAGAAAATCACTGATGCCACAGTTTGGGCAAAAATGGGGGAGATTATAATAATTGGAAGATAATCCTATTATTTTGTACACACTGTGTTCAGGCTTTCGGCTATGGCTGCCTGCACCATGCTCAACTATTATATTTTGTCTTAATCTGCTGATATTCTATCATGGGTTGGAGTGGCAACAAAACAACCTGTCTTAGGCTCAGGCACAGTACTGCACAGTGCATGTATACAGTTTACATACAAACTCTGCCTCTACACATTCTTAATTACATTTTCCTCCCCTCTCCCTTTTTGTTTATTTCTTTTCTCTGAGCTGTATTCCACATAAATGCAAGCCCCGTGTTACCTGAATATGAAGATGAAGAGCATGAGCAGCATGCAGAAAGTGGCCACGTTGTCCATCGTCTTCATCAGCACCACCAGCTGCCGCCTCAGCGCAGGCATGAACCTCACCAGTTTAATGACCCTCAGCAGCCTGAAGGTCCTCAGCACCGACAGACCGCCGTCTGCCTGGCCGATTATCTCACACACACTGGGATGTGTGTCGAATGGATGTGTACATGTGTGCATAACAGTGCGAAATAGAGAGAAAATGAGAAATTGGAGGATGTGGACAAATTTAAAGGAAATTTAGAGAAAAACATGCATCATCATAATCAATGAATGTGGGGAGAGTAAGATTGAAAAAATAAATAGAAATCAACAGAAAGGAGAGAACCACCAGATAATAGACGATTAGATAAGAGAACAAGGCAGTTTTTTATACCAAACAACACAACTGCACATTTTCAAGATACAGAAATTCTAAGTCTGTGACCATTCATAATAAAAATTATACATACAACTTAGTCCCTGCAGACCACCGTGCTTAGAATACACTGGCAGAAACTCTAGATGCAAATTATTTAAACATTCATTCATCACAATACATGTAATGTTTTGTAGCAAACAGTGGAGCGATTTAAGGTTGCGTATGTCAGGCTCTCAATTTGGTTTTTGGGATATGTGTACTTTTAATAGAGCTAAAAGGATGAGTTGATTAGTTGATCAACAAAAAATTAATGTAACCATTCAGATAAAGCAATTTTTTTTATTTATTTTTTACATTTTTCTCTGTTTTATAGAAAAGTTAACTAAATAACTTTGGGTTTTTGACTGTTAATCCGACACAACTGATATTTAAAGACCTCACCTTAAATTATAATGTGGATTTTTCACTCTTTTCTAACATTTTAAGGACAAAACCTTCAATAGGTAAATATCATTCCTCATTTATGAAATGCTATTACACTAAACGACAGCCTAACTTAACTATTAGGAGTAGATTGTAGATTACAGACCTAATGATGACGATGATGCCATCAAAGATGTTATAGGGGTTCCTCAGGTACTCGAAGAAGCCAAAAGCAGTCAGCTTGAGAATCATCTCCAGTGTGAACATGCTGGTGAAGACAATGTTGCAGATCTCCAGGACGTTGGTCAGCTCTTCAGGCTGTGTGGAGGGGGTAGGGAGTGGAGGAGGTCATAGAAACAGAAAAGGAAAAAGCAAGTAAGATGTGGAAATGGGTGAAGACAGAGTGGCACAAAGAATGGTGGGTAAAAGATAAGAGAGGTTAAAAACAGAGCAAGTGATAGACAGAGAGAGGCAAGTGCAGACAGAGAGATAAAAACATAGTTGATATTAAACCGCAGCTTTGCAATCATAGCTACCGCAACAAAAGATGCTGCACTGCACTGCAAAGAAAACAACCGTGTACGGATCACTTTCCTCCGCCTGTGTAGAAAACGCTGTCAATCAAACTGTCAGTCACTTGAAGAGAGACATCTCCCTCACCTGGCAAATAAAATTAAAACACACGCCTTAGCTTAGATAGGCAACAGACAGAGAGAAAGGGAAGAGCCTGAGAAGCACGGGAACAAATAGTTTTTTTTTGTTTTTTGTTTTAATCATAGCTGTTTAAGTGAAACTGTAAGAAAAAAAAACTCACATCGGCAAATATGAACAACAAAATGTGAAAGGGAACGGTGTGTAGTGTCTGTGTAGCACATGGTGTCAAACAGTGGCTGAATAGGAGAGCATGTTATCTGGAACTGGCAGGAACACGTACATATATGAACCACACACATAATAAATCCACACTCATGCTCCAGTCAATCCTGGGTTTATTTCCATTTGTATGTGCGTGTGCACAAGCAGACTCACTTCATGCAAGTATACAGTGTTTTGGTGAGTGTGTGTGTGTGTGTGTGTGTGTGTGTGTGTGTGTGTGTGTGTGTGTGGTGCACAATATAGATCAGATGCTTTCTCTGATACCCCCTGTGAATTTCAGATTCAAAGCCAGCAGAGAAATAGCCAGCTAGCCCTGCCAAAGTTAGCAAACCGTGTCAGAGAAAAACACAGTCTCAAGCCCTCCTCCCCTTCCTCTAATCCGCTTTTTTCTCCCAATCTACTACCCCCCTAGTTCCCCATCCCTCTTTCTTTCTCTTTTGGAGTCTCATTATCAGGCAGACCCATCTCTTCCCAATCAATATCCTCACGTCAATCAGAGGAGGGTAGAACGGGAGAGGAAGAACCCAGCTAAAGGAGAGGGAACGGAGGAGAAAGCAGATTGTTTGGGAGTAGATGATGACATGATCAGTGAGGAGGAGAAGAGTGGAGAGAATAATACTTGATTAGAGGTGAGGAAGAGTTAAGAATGATAAAAGGGATGGGAACAAAGGAAATAAGCTCACAAAACCAGCCTAAATCTCATGAGCTCAGTTTTAACTACAATGTTTCAGTCTGCTGAGACTCATTTGAGCTCAGTATCTGGAAACTAGACTGATCATTGGACTACTGATTGGTTTAGATGAGACGATTTACCTCTAAAAATGTTAATGTCATGAAACAAAAATTGAAAGAGATGCTAATATAACTACTGAAGATGAGTTGCAGTAGAAAATACAGAATGCAGGGATAGATGTGGACAGATGGACAGACACAAGCAAATTTATCCCTTCACAGTTAGCTCTAACCTTGACCTATGTCTCCCTCACTGGTCCAAAGTACAAACACAGGATATGAGATTTATTGCTATTGACAGAACCATCACATCCCTTGACATCACAGTTTAACTCAGACAAAATACCATCATTCCACCCTCTCCTTGCTTCCTCCCTCCTCACTGCTGTCTTCTTGCTCCATTACCTTTCAGTCCCTAACCATGTTTCCCCTCATATTCTTTTTCCCGTGTTCTCCCATGTTACTTCCACCTCCTGTACAGTATTTCATATTTTATCCAGCCCCGCAAATGTGTCCTCTCCCTGTTTCTCTCTTGAAACGTGGCCTCAGTCAGCCTGTGAATGTTGCTTGAATATGAATGAAAGAGCTACAACTTCCAAGCCTGAATTCCAATGTGCCAATTTTTTTTTCCCCCTCACAAAAATATCCAGACACGAACACACATAACATGAATACAAATAGGAAGTTTGTCTTTAAACTTACTAGTGTGCCACATCATTTGACGAACTGATGAGTAATAATCCATCATCAAAGGTCACAATCATAAATTGCAAGGTCATACCTTTATAGAACAACATGCATTTTTTGATATGAACATTTTCCTTAAGTACGATGTGGTGCAAATAAGGCAACTTTTTGGTTAGTCAGTTTAAAGGGAGTGCATCAGCTTCAGAGTTCCTGTTTTAGAATAAAATTGCATGGGGTAAGACTTTTCTACTGCAGAACAGAGACACACACTTATACCACTGCCTGTGTGCCAGCCTGTGGAAATTGCGGAGGGAGAAAAGACAGACAGACAAAGCCTCTGCAAGTTTGTGCATGCAAATGTGTACGTGTGTTTCTGAATACACGCCCACTTTGAAACGCACACACTCACTCCTGCACAGAATCACACAGGGAATTGAGCTGAAAACTGCTGTGTAACCGGCGTCTGCCTCGCTCTTCCCCTCTCACTCGTCCCCCCAGCACCCCCCCCCCCCCCCCAACCCTCGTTTATTTTTAGAGTCTTTGGAGATGAGAGAAAGCAGCTACTCTGTACACTGTCAAAGAGTGAGTGGGTGGATAAGAGAGAGAGAAAGAGAGAGAGACACAGAGAGAGGGAGGGAGAGAGAAAAGTGGGGAGATGGCGGGTGAAACTGAGGGAGGTAAAACCGAGTCAGAGAGTAGATGAGACACTTGGGGTAAGGCGGGAAGGATGGAAGGAAGGAAGACAGCAAGGAACAAAGGAACAAGTGGGGGAACATGCAAAGGATAGGTGCACAGTGGGATTTATGGAGAAAATAAGGGGAGAGAAGTGGAAGTAAAATTAGCAAGGGAGAGAGTGGGGGAGAAAGCGAGGAGAGAAAACAGAATGACACGAGTTGAGAGAGAGAGAGAGAAATGAAGGAAAAAGAAAAAGCTGTTTTATGTAACAGCTTGTGAGTGTATGTGCCTGCATGTGTTCCTGTTGGTGCATGCGCAAAATTTAAAAAAAGGTATTTGTTTGTGTGCGTGCGTGTGTGTGTGTGTTTGCTTCAACACATTTGTGTTTGTTTGCATGTGTGCGTGTGTGCGTACTCTTGGCAGGCTTCTCCCACTCTCAGACACCTGCCTTGTCTGCCTCTGAGGAGCCTGGCCAATGTTAAAAGCCAACTCGGTTTTGTCTACCGCTAGGCTAAATGTTTACACCTCTGTCAGGAAACTGCATGGCAGTGATGCTCCACTCCCACACTCATCCTTCTGAACGTCATCTGCTATTATAATATTTCTAGCAGCAATGCTTCATCAGCAGTGATAGTGGTTTATCTGCTGAGGCTGTGGTGATTTGTGGGAGTGAGAGGGGAGCGAGAAATGATTATGCCAGCACACTCCAGTGACACTGTAGTATGTCAGTCTAGGCAATGTATATTCTAACAATGATGACCAATTTCCAAAATATTCACTATAATTACATATACATGTTATA